TCCAAGTTGTTCGCCATTTTCGGCCTCTGATTTCCTACGACCACACTTCACGAACTGACGACGGAGGGACCGGAGGGTTAGCATGCCACCGGAGGATCGAGCGGTCCATCAAAGTTGCAAAAAGTTTCAGCATCGCGCGACATGGTGTTGAAGGCCGAGGACAAATCGAAGAATGCTGTTCTTCCGCCTTTGTCCAGTTCACTGGCGATTTCGTTTGCGTCGTTGTTTGCAAGCCCTGTTTCGTACGCATTTGGTCGCTGATCAACCAAATTCCCGAGGTTCACTGCAGGATGTGCAGCCAATCTCTCTAGACATTTATGGAGAGCGGAGGCTAATGCGATGAGTCAGGAAGAATCCAGGTTGACTGCAGTTGAGGGTCTCTTCTCTTGCACCGAAACCATCGCTGTCGCACGCCATGCACTGCGAACAAGTCAAATAGAAGCTGTACAGTATGCACAGCTCGGCCGAGCGAGGTTTGAGCATTTGTGAGCTGACCCTATCTGAACTGGCAGGCACATTCGACCGGAAACGCTCAGAGCAAAATCCGATCTCTTCTATGCCAAATTGAACCGGATCATCTTCGTTGTTTGCCAGCACAGCACAGAAGTCAGATACAGTCGAACTGTTCATTTCGAACCGCAAGAAGTGTTGGCTTTGGTCGTTCTGTAGAGTATAGCCTGATAGCGCACTGGCGTTGCAGCATAGATTCTTCGCATCATCATCCGCAAAGCAGTGTTCCGGTGTCCGCCATTATAGTGACCGTGCGTCCGTTCGTTCGTTCATTTCATCCGCCCATCCATCTATTCATCCGTCGCTGTGCATTCGTCTGTCCATTCTAGTATCATAATGGCTTGTTATCCTTTCGGGTGTCAAGAAATGCAGCCTACAGAGCTGACAATCAATTGTAAAATTCTGACGTCGTCTATGATCGTCTGAATCATAGGACAGCGCCCAGTTCAAATGATACTTACAAGTCAAGGAGTGTATCGTACAGCGGCAGCTGTTATCATTGGTACTGTAACTCGGTGTATGACCAAAATATGATCGACGCATAATTGGTTTGTTCGGAACGCTGTTCAGTTTACAGGCAGGGAGTATTTTCGACTATCTGCTGTGTTCATTCCTGAACAATCACCGAAAATACCTTTCCAGACAGGGCAACAAGATCATTCCGCGATATTTTTGATAAATCGATTTCCGATCGATTCATATACATGCATATAGATTTCTGATTTGAAAGACAGGTGTCACACTTCTAATCAGTTGCAGTTTTAAGGTGAAGGATATGGTAAGAAAAAACCCACAACTGTATTCGCTGATTTCGGTTCCGCACAGCTTCATCATTCCAGGAGGTCGTTTCAAAGAGTACTATTACTGGGATTCATACTGGATCATAAAAGGACTGTTGGCCTCAGAAATGATCGGTTCTGCGAAGAACATGATTCGAAACCTGGCCGATATGATCCGACGGTACGCTATGCATCCATAAACGGTACGGTCTAGTTGTAAATATTCGCATGTTTCTTTAGATTTGGATTCGTACCTAACGGGGGTCGAATTTATTACCTGAACCGTTCACAGCCTCCAGTGCTGACCATGGCACTGTACGACTACTTTCTGCAGACAGGGGACTTGAACCTGGTCAAGGAGATTCTACCTCTTCTTGACCAAGAGATGGCATTCTGGAAGCGAAATCGCACTGTCCAATACCGAACGGATGACAACGAGGTTCTGGACTTGTTTCAGTACCGGGTCCACGTCACTTATCCGCGACCCGAGTCCTACAGAGAGGATGAAATTACTGCCTCTATTCTTCATAGCAGTTAACTCGACGGGGCGCATAGCCACATAAACCTGACGATGTTTCGTTTTCAGAGAAGGCGAAAGAGCAGCTGTGGTCGAATATCGCGTCAGCCTGTGAGTCCGGATGGGACTTCAGCTCGCGTTGGATCGACATGAACTTCGGCCCGGTCGATATGCACAACATGAGGACAACGGAGGTAGTGCCGGCGGACCTGAACGCCATCATCTGCGGCAACAACCATAAGCTCGGCTTCTTGCATAAGGTGGTCGGCGAGGAGGCGGCCGCGCGACAGTACGAGCGTGAGTTCGAAGCGTTCAAATCCAAGTTCTACAAGGCGTTCTGGGACCCATTGGACGGCACGTGGTACGACCTGAACCTCGAACGGCGTCGGCGAATCGGCCTGTTTTACGCGTCCAACATCGTGCCGCTGTTCACCGAGTGCACCCACGACCAGACGAACCTGACCGAGGTCATAGTCGAGTACCTGCGCCGCACGCGGGCCACCGATGTCCCTCACGGCTTTCCGACCAGCTTTATCCCGTCCATGCAGCAGTGGGACGATCCCAACGGTTGGGCACCGCTGAACCACATGGCCGTAATTGGTCTGAGCCACAGTAAGAGCCGCGAGGCACAACAGGTCGCGTTCGAGATCGCGAAAAAGTGGCTAGAGACTAACTACATGGTGTGGATCAGCCGACGCGGAGACATGTTCGAAAAGGTAAGCGTGGCGAAAGCCCGTCGCTCTTACAGATTCCATTCTTACTACCGTGTAGTACAACGTCGAAACCCTTGGCTATGGGGTTGGCATCGGAGGCGAGTACGTAGTGCAAACCGGCTTCGGTTGGACGAACGGCGTCGTGCTCGACCTGCTACTCAAATATTCGGACGTCTTAATGGCTCCAGACAGACCAACGTACAACTGACTGTAATGTCCGACTGACCAGCAATGACGTAATCGGTTGTTAGTTTTCCGTTCATGGCTTGCTTGTTTGTTTTACTTGTGTTTTTTATTTAAAAAAGAATTTTTACTTCACTGAATTGCGTTGTTCGTGACAGTTATGGCAGATAGACACAATTTTCATAATCATATACGGCTAATCGATAGTTAGAGGTGGGTAATAGCCATCACAATCTTTATCAGCCCGGCAAATCTGCAAGTTGCTTAAGACTCTTGATGTCCGCCCATCTCAACGCTGCACATTTTCATATTGGGAACCGTTTAATGCGTAGGCGAAGGTATGATTCCTCCTCGACATATTTCCGTTTAGCTTCCTCTGTCAAGTGATATGCTGGCCATCGATCTTTCGCTGGCCATGTTTCGGCTACCAGTTGTGCAGCGGTCGATCCAGCGAAGCATGATCGCTTGCTGGTAGGTGGTCGGACCATGCCAACCTCGATCGATAGTTACGTTTACGCCAACCAGAAGGAATAAGCGCAGTGCTGGCGAAAATCAGTGAGACAGTGTAGGCTCATGGTCATATCCTCTTTGACCGTTTTTATAGTGGGGGCTTATTT